CCCATAGTCATCTCGATTGATAAACCAACCGACTTTGCCTCCGCCAAACACCGGACCTATATCAACTTTTCTAAAGCTGATTGGAAAGGTTACGCGGAGTTTACCGAAAACACCTTCGCAGCGCTCCCCACACCAACCGACGTCCATCTCGGTGAACGTAAGTTCCGCAGGGCCATCACTGCTGCTGCAGCTCACTTCATACCGGCAGGATGTATAACGGACCCACGTCCAAACTTCCCTGCCGAAGCGGCTGTTCTAGCCGATGAGCGTGATAGCCTTCGTCAGGCCGATCCCGGAGATCCCCGTATCAGGGACCTCAACGCGGAGATTCGGCAACTTGTAAACGTACATAAGCGGAAGAAGTGGGAGGAGCATCTGAAGACTTGTAATTTCACCTCTGGTGTGAGCAAGCTTTGGTCAACCGTGAGGTCATTGTCTAATCCGACGAAGCACGACGACAGAGTCGAAATTTCCTTCGGCGACCATGCCTCGTCGGACCCGGAGCGATGCGCGAGCTATTTTAGCCGGCAGTTCATACTGCATCCTCCGGTGGACAAAGCCAAGCGTCGAGTGACCAGAAGGCTGCACAAACTGCCAACAACTTGTGCCCCCCTTGCTTTCACTTGCGGTGAAGTTCAGGTTTTGAACTACGCAACGCCAGTGTGGTCGCCAGGGACTAGTAGGACGCAGTGGACGAAGCTACAGACTGTACAAAACACCGCACTCAGGACAGCGACGGGATGCCTCTTGATGTCGCCTGAACACCACCTGCACGGCGAGGCGCAAATGCTCCCTGTAAGAGCATAATATAATGCTCTGCAAGCAGTTCCTGATCGGGAGCCACAGAAGTGGCCACCCAAGCAGACAGCTGCTTGCAGAGGAGCCCTCGCCTAGGCACGTCAGGAGGCATCTATATGAACTGACGGACGAAGTCCAGAGGTTCATTAAGCATCCTCTGGACCCGACAGCTTACAGACAGGCCCTGAACGGCATTCACAGGGACACAGTCTCGAGTTATGTAGACTCTAGACCTGTGAATGCCGTTCTAGGCATACCACCCCCGGACATAGACGAGACGGAGCTTCATCTGCCTCGGGAGACACGCACAACACTCGCACAACTTCGCTCCGGCTACTGCAGCAGGTTGAACTCCTACTTGAGTAGGTTGAATGAGGATGTGCCGAATGAGTGTCCGGCATGCGGAGAGACCCCACATGACTCGAAACATCTCTTCGCATGCCCGGAAAACCCGACAACCCTAACGGCCTTGTCCCTGTGGACAAACCCCACAGAAGCTGCACGCTTCCTAGGGTTGCCGTTAGTGGAACTTGACGACAACGACTGAGATACCAACCGATCTGGGCGGGGTTGTTGTAGCCGCTACAACAACAACAACAGCAACGCAATATGCCCTCGGTACCAAGGTACATAATATGTTCAGACAATTTATCGGCTATACAATCTATCCTTAACATGTCTAATATGGATAACCTGACCAGATTAATACGCAATGCACTTTACAAAGGAGGAAAATCAATAAAAATTATTGTGGAGAATGCTTTTTCGAAAAAGGACATCTACAGGCTGGCAAGTGAACAAATATACAAAACTAAGCTGGAAAAATGGAAGGATTTCAAGCACCACTACGCAAACGTTAACGTAAAGGGCGAGAAACCTATATTTCCGGAGAACAGCAGCAACAATTTAAAAGCGTTTATTAGACTACGTATTGGACATACGATTGTTACCCATGAATCTGTCCTGNGGGCGAGAAACCTATATTTCCGGAGATCAGCAGCAACAATTTAAAAGCGTTTATTAGACTACGTATTGGACATACGATTGTTACCCATGAATCTGTCCTGAAAGGTTCGAGGTCGCCACAGTGCCCCTATTGCAACGTGGAAACAATCACCGTAACTCATCTCCTCGACAGATGTCAGCATTTCGCTACAATCAGAGCTAGCATCTTTAACAACTCCATTGCATCCAAGTTATTGAAAAACTAGGACAATGAATCGATATCTAAAATTAATGAATTCCTTGGGTTAACGAATCCTAAGAAATTAATCTAGTGTTAATTATCTGTAAGAAGCAATTTAGGTTAATCTAAGTATTGAACATATGTATATATATATAAAAAAGCGAGCCGAAGGTGATCATACTAGCGCTCCTTTTTCCGGTAAAGAAGTGACCTTCTCTTCTTTTCCTTTAATAATAATAATAATAATAAAGTTAAGAGCTACAATTAATGGCATAGTAACATATTGGATATCACAATTCTATCGACTAGGTGTATGGTGTCAAGTTAGCACTACATACCAATTTTTCTTAAAAAACGAGAGCTACAAATTTATTTATGTTCTTTCCACAACAAATTTACAACAAAAACACTACAATTAATGCCGTAGTTAACTTTTCCAAATTCGAAAAGTGTAGTGCTAACTTGACACACGTCAAATCCTCTTTCATTGGACTTGTTTAATTTGCATAAGCGGTTTGTTTATTACCCGGAAAGTACTTTTATTTCGGAATAAAAAATATTTGACCAAGTTTAACTTGTAAAAAAAAATAACTGTAATTTTCGGTCCCTTCAATATTCGCATTCGCAAAAGATCCGCATTGGTTTTTGCGAATGCGAAAGCGAATCTTAAAATTAATTTTAAGCTCCGCGGTTGCGAATGCGAATGCGAATATTCGCATTTTTTTTTTTAAATTGCGTCTGTTTTTCTAGAATTACTGGACGATTATGTAAGCCGATTTTGACGATCTAATAAAAGAAATTATGCCAAATTAGATATGGGGGGATTTTGAATAAAGAATAAAAAATTAATTAAAAATAGAAAAAAAAAACAGTTTTTATAAAAAAAAATGTTCTTTTTAACAAATGTATTTTTTCGTAGAATTCCTTTCTACGTAAGCGGCCTTCGGCCGCACTTAGGGATTATAACCCTCAGGCAGTAGAATTCTCCTTTCTGTTTTGCCAAAGAAGGGGGGCTGAACACCTTTTGCAGAGAACACCTTTCTGCGTAGGCGGCCTTCGGCCGCACTTAGGGATTATAACCCTCACAAAGTAGAATTCTCTTTCTGTGTTGCGAAGAAGGAGGCGCTGAAC